TTCACACATATAGTTTTTAAAACATTGTTAATGATTTGTCTTTGATAACATGTGTAATTGTTATGGGTTAATTATAATTAATTTTTATTTATATCATTGATGGGACTTGTCCTGTTGTCTTAGACTGTTACTATATCCACTGTTCTTCCAGCCGTGTAAGGATTAATGGAAAGTAAATACATATGAATGTCTGTTTTAGTCATGATGTAATGTAGCACCTACACCATGTGTGTAATGTTTACTAATGAATTATTTCAAGCGTTTGAGACAATATGTAATACTCTTACAGGGCTAGGGAATGGGCAGGAAGAGTAGGGTTATCCTGTACTACTGATTCTGCTAGAATGCTGCACAATAAAGTTCTGTGCAGCAGACATTTCTCTAAAAGTGACTTCACAACAGCTGAAAGGGTACACCTTAACAGATGTGCAGTTCCATATGGCACAAATTCTGCTACACAGTCACCCCTACAACCTCCTGATCATTCATTACACACCTCTTCCTTTGATCCCTTGCCTTCAGGTTTAACTCCTGAACGTGAGCTTAATGTCTTACCGCCCACCGGAACCTACAGCAAGACACTTGTGCCCTCTGCTGTAGCACCTGTTCCACTCCATGCAGAGTCCTTCCACTTCCTTTCAAATGTCTGCAATCCAATCATCACCAACAGCAGGCAACACTTCTTCAGTGAAAGGAGCCTCCTATCTCTTAGGCTCTGAAAATATATATGCTTCTGATGGGGCACTCGTCCATATCAGTTGTCAAATTTCCTCCTCAAAGCCCAGAGCAAGGCATTCTCTGCTGAAAGAACTTAATTTGGCTTTGCTTTCTGAATTGACACCGAGGAAAAGGAAATTATATGCACAAATTCGGAATAAGGAGAGTGCACTCTGCAAACTGAAAAAGAAATACAAAGGAAAGAAGTTGGAAAATCTCTGTGATGTGGACAGTGATCCACTCATGGAGAAACTTTCATCTTCTCTCATAGTAGAGGCTGCCAGATTATTGGCAGCAATTATTAGGAACAGCAGGCAGAGACCTCAGGGAAGGAGGTGGGATTTCTAAGAAAAAGTGTTGGCTCTCTCTCTCCTTAAGCGTAGTCCCAAACCCTATATCCTTCTCCGCACACTACTCCCCCTACCATCCAGACGATCCTTGCAGTCTGTCATCAATACTGTTCCATTTAGGACAGGCATCAATGCTCATGTGTTTCATGCACTCGAACAGACTCTGCAGAAAATGTCTGGTAGAGATCGATATTGTTGCCTCATGTTTGATGAAATGTCAAACAGAGAGAACTTGCATTTTAATCAGAAGTTTGACTGCATTGAAGGATTTGAGGATTGTGGAAGTCAGGGCAGGACTTGCAGCATTGCAAATCATGCTCTGCTCTTCATGATCCGTGGCCTGCGGAGAAAGTGGAAGCAGCCAGTGGCTTACTACTTTACTCCTGGAAGCACAAAGCCAGAGATGATTGTGCAATACTTGAAGGAGGTTCTTGACGCCTGTCAGAATGCTGGCCTGAAGATGGTTGCCACTGTGTGTGACATGGGTGCAAACAATGTCAAAGGTCTTGAAACTGTTGGGTGCTTCCAGAAGGAAACCACTCTTCAGATTTCGCAATCAAAAATTGCAACAGTGTATGGTCCACCCCACCTTCTGAAGTGCACCCGGAACCTTTTCCTGAAACATGATGTGCAGGTGAAGTCTGAACATGTGGGCACCCAACTTCCTGTTATTGCTAAATAGGACCACATATTGAAACTGTATGAAATCGACAAAACCAGACAGTTTCGCCTGTAGTATAGGCTGACAGACACCCACCTGAACCCCACAGCACAGAGCTCAATGAATGTGCCCTTGGCTGCACAGGTCATGAGCCATACTGTTGCAGCAAGCTTCAATGCTCTAGTGGCTACAGGTAAGCACTGTATGTTTCTTTTATGAATGAAGTGACTAATAATGAGGACTACTTTTCAAAGTTACTGCCCCAGAACCAAGTTGTAATCAAACAAACGTCATTATCATCTGACTTGAATTGACTTCTGAAACTGTATATCAATATAAAAGTTATGTAGAATATGTCACAAATACTGTTTTAGGATAATTAAGAAATATTTGAAAAGCAGATGACACTATCAGTGATTACCGCCATCTGTGAGCAGATTGTTTAGAAAATGTGGGAACCTGAACATCTCACAACCCTATGGGCCTCCACGGCCTGTTACAGGGATACCTTTACTTTACTCCTTTAGTAACTCTTCATGAAGCCATTCTAACAACTCTGTTTTGAAACAGGTCTCCAAAGAAGTACTGCATATTATTAATTTCAGATCGTGACCAGCATCAAATTAACAAATATATGAACCCATGTTGGAGACAGATATAAACTTCTGATAGGGAAACTTGTTAAAAAATAATCACATGGAAGAAAAAAGGAGAAGGGGAGGAGAACATTAAGATGGATGTTAGGGGTTGTGAGGATGAGATGAAGAGAATTGGCTCAACATATCGAATTCCAAGTGTTCATATTTATATAGTTCAGTAACAAAATATATTTATTTTTAATGTACAGTTCAAGTTTTACTCCTATTCAATTCAAAAAATACAAAAACTTGAAATGATGGAATTTTACTAAACCTTGTACTTCATTATGACCACCACTGTCAATGAAACCTTTGCCTCAGCCACATTTACACTGAAGAACACTTTAATACAGAAAATCCATGATTTTGAAACAATGCGCATTAGGCACTACCATTAAACATATGAGTGAATTATGTACGGTGTATTAGGCACCTGGATCAACATTACCATAAAACATTCTTTTTAATGCCCTACAAGTATGTGAACTTCAAGAAAGGACACTATTAAGTATCAGACCACTTAATTAAAATCCAATACCATATGACAAACATTTGTAGAGATAATACTGGAACAGTATTAACACTAATAAATTACAATATTCTAAAGTTTTTGATCCAAGACACCCTAATGCACCATAAAATAATAATCATACTATTACTAAGAATAACAATATAATTACTATAAGAATCACTCATATATTATGACTATTTGCACATCTGCCAAACTACAAATGTTTAATCTTTTGACTTCACAGCTTCAGTTCTGTATAATTTTACAACATCAAACTCAGTACATTGATTGAAATACCCCATGAAAACTTTTTATTTCTCTTCATGCTTGACTCTCCTCTTTACCATAGAATGACAGAGGAGTACTCAGTTATATCCCAAATGTGGCCATCACCTGTTTAACCTTCTTATCCCCAAATTATGAATTCATTAACACATGCAGATTGCAGATACACCTGTGATATAAAACTTCTAAAGATATAAAATGCGTATTAAAATAATGCAAGCACATAATTTTTAAGATATAAAATACTCTGTGTAAGGGCCGGCAAATTGTAATGCTTTGTCGTTATTAACTCAATGGTGCAGACAGAGGTAGATTAAGGCACAAAGTATGGCATGAATAGGGCCTGGCAGGCATGCAACCCATCCAGTTTGAGAGGGTGGAGAGCCCCTAAGACTCTTAGGTGCAACAACACAATGTGTTTTCCACTTCCTGTCTTCAAAAGCATCTAACACACACCATAATTTTTTTATTGCTCTGGGGCCCTCCACAGAACACTGGCCTTGGGCCCCACAAACTTTCACCTCTGGTTGCACATGTACATACACTGTATCTACTTCTGTTCAGAACATCTGTGTGCCTCTTGAATACTTGTATAAATCATCACAATATGAGCAACTTATTAAAATCTGTGTGACATCTCAATGAAAAGCTAAGTTTCTTACTTATTTTAAACTGAACAGAGCTGTGGTTAGTCATATGATACCACCATACCTTTTAAAATGGCTAGTTTGCAAAATGTATGCTGTAACCACAGAGAAGTTATTGAGTAACATGCCACAGATGATGTTATCCCAGTGAAAATCCATAGTTCATTATAAAATTCATACATGATCATCTATTTGTGTATTGCCAGTTGCTAAGTACAGTGGAACCTCGCTTAATGAGCATAATTCATTCCAGAATCTTACTCGTAATGCAAAACAATTTTTCCCATATAAATTAATGTAAAATACGACAACGCGTTCCATGCCGAAAAAGATACTCAAAAAATGTTATGTATAATGTTTATTCAAAGAAAATTATATATACATTGTTAAGGAGCGTGAATAATCTTCATCTTTTCTTCTATGTGGAATGAACCAACCTGGAACGGGAATTCGATTTGCAGAAAAAAAAAATCAAAATAATTAGTTTATTATTTATGATATATATCTAATTCTTTTTTACTAGAAAAATGTCTAGAGACATTTGTTTTTGCCAATGCTTGAAAATTTGGTGAAAATGCGACACAGCATTACCATTAAATAAATTTGTAGCGCGCATAGCCACTGCCTTATTAGGGTGATGCTTCTCAAAGTACGATGCAACAGTTTCCCATGCTTTCAGCATTTCT